TATAAACAGTTAGATAGTTAATGATTATTTTTTTATTTTCGAAATTCCAGGGGTAATGCGATTTCTTTGCTGGTGTTCATTCGAGATCAATGAACCGTTAGGACAAGTTCATGTCCGTATGGAGTTTCCCTCTCTAGGGAGAACTAGAACTACATTACACTGAATTTATAAACTTTTAATTAAACTTCTGTTTGTTGTTTGCGTGCTTTGTTGTTGTTTCTTTTTTTTGTTTCCTTCTTTGTTTTGGCAGTAATGGTTCTAAAAATTGAACTGAACACAAATGAACTGAAATTAGTTCATATGTTTTTTTATGGCAAAAATCAAAAGATTATCTAGGTAAAATATGAAAAAGCACCTGCAGAAAATAGTAATAGTGTAATAGTAAATAGTAAAATGTTAAGTAAAAAACTGAAAGTAATAGTGTATAAATTTGTATTCCTTGAAAAAAATTTTTTTTGACCATTTGAAAATAAAATACTAATAAATAATTATTATAACATTTCTTGTAAGGAATTACCTTTGGGTAAAAATTTTTTATAATTGTCTAAAAATATTTTTCAATTCCCTTAGAAAGTTTTGAGATATGGTGAAATCCGCAAAAAGTAAAACTAACATTAAGGACTAACATTATAAACTAACATTAACATCAGGAGAGCGTTCCAAACTTTGGACCTCTCTCTTGACCAAAATATCGGGACCATATTTCCCAGATTATAGCTACCTCCTATATTTTGGGGGTCAAAAAACCGAATCCGTCAAACAAAAAGGCATTTTTATTCAGAAAAAGTACGTTTTGTGCCTGATTTTGTAACCTTAAAATATCGTCTGCACTAATTAATTAGCATATTTGAGGTCACCCCTCGAACCATTAAGATTGAGTCTTAAGTACGTGAAAATCGAATCATTAGATCATAAGTTATTCAGAAAGGTCCGTTTTGTTTTGCGCACTGTACGGCAATTTCAATTAGTCTGATAAAGTATTTAATTTTTTTTTTTACAAAAAAATTACAGCATGATTTTTGATAAATAATTTTATATGATTAAAAATGGTTATAGCTTTATGAAAGCAAATACTGATTTTTAATTCTGATTATATTTAATGATAAAATAATAATGAAAACTTCTATTTTGAACACCGAAATCAGCTACCATTATATTAGCTGAATCATCATTAGAAGATCACCTTTTCTAATTACTAAAAAACGGGGTTCGTAAGCAAAGTTTTTGTCAAATTGAATATCTCATAAGCGTTAATAAATGACGAGCACTTAAGTGAGAATCGGTATACTGGAAAATACTGGAGATAAATTCTGATAATATTTTAGGATGAAATGATAATGAAAAATTCTATTTCGAATACCGAAATCAGCTAACATTATGTCAGCTGAATCATCATTATAAGATCACCTTTTCTAGTTTCTAAAAAACGGGGTCCGTGAACAAAGTTTTCGTCAAATTGAATATCACATAAGCATGAATGAATGACGAACACTTAAGTGAGAATCGGTATTCTGGCAAATGCTGGTGATAAATTCTAATAATATTTGAGGATTAAATGATAATATTCTGGGATGAAATGATTATGAAATTTTTTATTTCGAACACCGAAATCAGCTAACGTTATGTTAGCTGAATCATCATTAGAAGATCATCTTTTCTAGTTTCTAAAAAACGGGGTCCGTGAACAAAGTTTTCGTCAAATTGAATATCTCATAAGCATGAATGAATGACGGACACTTAAGTGAGAATCGGTATACTGGCAAATGCTGGTGATAAATTCTAATAATATTTGAGGATTAAATGATAATATTCAGGGATGAAATGATAATGAAATTTTTTATTTCGAGCACCGAAATCATCTAACGTTATGTTAGCTGAATCATCATTAGAAGATCATCTTTTCTAGTTTCTAAAAAACGGGGTCCGTGAACAAAGTTTTCGTCAAATTGAATATCTCATTAGCATGAATGAATGCCGAACACTTAAGTGAGAATCGGTATACTGGCAAATACTGGAGATAAATTCTGATAATATTTAAGGATTAAATGATAATATTCAGGGATGAAATGATAATGAAATTTTTTACTTCGAACACCGAAATCAGCTAACGTTATGTTAGCTGAATCATCATTAGAAGATCACATTTTCTAATTACTAAAAAACGGGGTACGTGAACAAAGTTTTTGTAAAATTGAATATCTCATAAGCATGAATGAATGACGAGCACTTAAATGAGAATCAGTATTTAATTTAGAAAAGATCAGACAGAAAAATCACGTCTTTTACTTTAGGGGAAAGAATCTTTTTTTCTGGCACGATTCATTGCTAAAACCTATTTGTTTTTTTTCTTTCTGTTTGGTATCACCCGTCACTAATTTCTTTTTTTTCCTCCCTTGAGGCAGTGACAAATTGACGGGTTGACCTTGACTTTGGATAGAGAAATATTCTTAGTTTTATCTAAGCGGAGATTTAAGATGTTCGGTGTCCGTGGAGCGTTTCAAAATATCGTTTTTATTTGACAACTTGGAGACCCCCGTTGTGTTTCTAGAGCAAAAACCAATATTTTTAAACTCTGAGTGTACCTTCTGTCTAGGCTGTAAAATTTATATACAAAAATAATCTGTTTTGGCGGAGCTTTTTTATTTAAAGAAGTCTATGTTTTCATGAATCAATATTTTGGAAAGCATGCAATTTCAGAAATCAGGGCTAAGAATAAAAAATCAGAAGTCACAAGAAATTAGAGCTGTTCCTAGAGTGAAAACCAATATTTTAAAATTTACATACCCAAGTAATCTGTTTTGTCGTCGGTTTTTATGTCAATGTTTTCATAAATTGAAAAGCATGTAATTTCTGAAATCAAAATTTTGCCTGCGCCTAATTAGCTAATATTTAATAAAAAAAGTAAGATGAGCCACAATGCCTAAACTAAGGATTTATTTTCAAAAGCTTATTATTCTAATTTTGATTCATTTCAATGAATAAGAATTAGAATAACCGCTTTTGTGCTCAAAACAGTGTTAACTTCATGATTAGTAACTATCTTGATTTTTAAATATTTCTCTCACACATAAAATTACAAAAATATTAAATTTATAAACCAGGATGTTTTTATATAAATCTATATAATTACATAGTTTAAAATGATTGGAAGTTTTTATATTATCAATTCCAATATTATTTTTACCATTACTAAATAAACTATTAAAATAAATTTAAAAAAATAAATTAAGGGACCCAAATCTCGGCAGCTCTCCTAACTAAACTGCAGGAATCATATTTTCCAGATTGAAATTACCCATTCCATATTTTAATAATAAGAAAAAAAAATTTTTGTCGAAAAATGAAGCATATTTATTAAAAAAAGCATTTTTGCCCCCGGTTCAGCTTAATTAATAGTTAACACTCATTAATTAGCCTATTTGAAGTTAACTCTTGGAAATTTTAAGATTGGCATTTAGTTTATGAAAATCCCACCATTCGAACAAAAGTTATTCAGGGTGATATATACTTTTTTTGATTCACTGTATTTTCTCTGTATAAGCACTGCTTTTACAGTGAAGCATTTTTACAGTTGTAGCAACCTGTTTCCTGTTCATCAGAATATCGCTTAATTTCAATCATGATATATGACGCTAAACAATTATGATATATGACTAAAGATAATTTAATTTGTTTCATAATATGATTTGTCACAATGCAATTTTTTTACAGGTTTTATCCCTGCAATATTCAATTTAATATTTCTTTTATTTCTATTTTTTGTTCAAACACAAAACTAGAAGCACTAATTTCCGCTTTTCAACACTGTAAAAATTCAAGATAAAATTAAGGGATAATAGTATTGACATCTGTAAAATTAATTTTACCGTAAAATACATTTTTAACGAGGAATTTCATACTGTACTTTTTACTGTGATATTTATTTAATTACAGTGAATTCTCAGAATTTAGTAAACATTTAGCACATTGCTGTTAAAATTATGGTTTATCAGATGTTTTTGTTCAGCAAAATTTTACTGTAAAAAGTAACAACATTCAGGGTTTTGGCACTTTTTACTGTCATTTTATCCGGAATTTTTTCCAATGTAACTACTATAGATTTAATCCGATTGCTGATTATTAGATTCAAATTCGTAAGCATTACATATGAATGATCGAAGCTGGGCCAAGTTTTTTAATATTCCAGAGTAACATTCATCCGATGTGGCCAGTACGGGTACAAAATGGGAACAGGCAAGTAAATTTTTTTGATTGAGATTAGTACCTCAAATTTTCTTCAACTATTATCATTCGTTGAAAAGTTAGTCCAGTCGCAAATTGAACTTAAAACTTAGAATCGATGAATTAAAAAACGAGTTATTATATTTTGAATGTTATTGCTTATTTTGGCTAGCTATTTTCTTAAATATTACATTACTTCTTTTGGAGATTATGGTACACATTTTAAACAATGAAAAAGTCAGAAAAGCAATAGTTTAAAAGGGAAAAAACCTAGTGTAAGCAATAAGAAGTCGGGTGACTTTTTGTTTAAGAGTCTAGTGTAACATTTTACCGATGTGGCTAGTATGGGGCAAAATGTGGTTATTGAGATTAGTACGCAAATTTTGCTTCCACTATTATCAGTCATTGAAAAGTTAGTCTCCACGCAAATTTAACTGAAAAACTTAAAATCATTTAAAAAAAGACTTTGTTTTTTTTTTAATGTTATTGCTCATTTTGGCTACTTATTATTTAAATACAATTTACTTCTTAATGGGATTATGATACATATTCTAGACTATTAAAAAGTAAGAAAAACTCTATTTTAGAAGGGAAAAAAACCCTAAAAAGTAACTAATATTCTTTAAAATTGCAATGATGGGGTTACTTCTAGATGGCGTAAAAGATCGGGAACAGTAATCCTATTTTTGCGTCACTAACAACATACGTGCTAAGCTATACACAGTTGATTATCCACAAATAAAACCAAATACTTTAAAACTTATTGTAAACAAACTTACCAAAATATAGTGGGGACTCTCTGGTTGCTACATTATCATCAATGTATGGAATTCCAAGTGTGTAAACTGCTGTAGCTCCAATACCGATAAACAATAAACTGACAAAAAACACAGACAACACAGCATGTCGTACTCGTGTCTGATAAGCAGTATTTCCTGGCGCATCACAGCGAGAAGCAACTCTGCCCTTGTAAAAGGGAGTCATTAAAATATCGTTTTTGCTAGTAACATTATCAGAAGATTTGGCGCCATTTGCAAGAGGGACATCGCGTGGCGCAATCATTTTCGATGGTTCAACCATCACTATTTTTGATGATAAAGATTTATTATGAACAGATATTTTGGACATGTCATGGCACAATCTGGCGTTCAATTCACGCATTTTGTACGTTGAAGCATTAGGCTGATCATTCCCAAATGCACTAAGAGTGAAATCTTCTCCACTCCCAAATAGAAAATGAGGCGTTGAACATAAGATAGACGCAGCCGCAAACACTAACATACCACAAGCAATCCATTTAGGTCTATGACCTTGTCCACCATAATAAGTTAGTAATAAAGCCCCTCCAATTTGTCCGATTTCAGTTGCAGACATTATAATACCTGTCGTTTTGCTTTGAATTTGAAACAATTTTTCAATGGTGGTCAAAACACTCACAAAATAAGTGTAATACATGCCCTGGAGGACACTTGTGAGGCAAAAAACGACTAAGAAGGCTTTTTTATTGGCAAAAAATTGCAGCCATCGTGGTCTAAAAGACCACATGCCACAGTCGGTACCATCTTCAGCTGTTTCGTATTCAATAGATTTTATAGTTCTATTATCGCTAACGATATGGCCATTTGATCTACTGTTGTGTCCGTTAGCGTGATATCCGTTGCCATTGCTGGAATCTGAGTTTTTTCCAGCTAACGGCGTCCGTACATCTTCTTGGTCCCCAGTATCAGTTCCATTGGAATAACCCGATTCAACCATCACTTTTTCTTTAACTAGATTCACCTGAAAAGATCAATTATTAGAAACGGAAAAGAAAATTTAAAAATATAAAATGCATGTACAGACTTATAAATTTGCAAGATAAATATAAAATAATAAGATTTTAATATTTTTTTACGTGAAGAGCAGAATTAACTTTTTATTTAAATGAATAAGTATAAAACTTTAGAACACGCTGAATCACAATATTGCACAAATCTAGTGTAAAATTAGTAAGGTGATAAATAGAGTCTTATTGCTGCACGCTACCCATATTACCGTACACCTTAAACCATCTTAAAATTGATTACATGATACTATGATCCCACAGTTTACTGATCTTAAGACACGGTTTTCAGTAGATCGTAGAAGTAAGTCAAGCATCACTGGCTGAGGTTAGGGGGTCAGAGAGCGGATGGGTGACCAGTTTGATCGGCTTGCGCTTTTTAGGTCCTCGTTAAATTGTTCTACCGTAAAGTGTTCGACTTCGCACCAAAGTGAGGGGGTCGTTTTCACTGCTGAGGATCAAATTTGTGACAGCATGTCTTCGGATTATCCGCAGGGATGTTACCTAGACCGTGTCCCGCAGTGGACTGATCGTTAAGACACGGTTCCTAGCAGATCACCGAAGTCAAGCATCACTGGCTGCGGTCAGTGTGCGGGTGGGTGTCCACTTGGATCAGTCTGCGCAGGGACCGAGGGTGTGCGGTATGGGTCCTCCTTGTTAAAATGTTCTATCGTAAAGTGCTCGACTTCGCGTGCAGGTCGTCGGGCTACCGAAGAGGGGGTGCCATCCCCTCTGCAGAGGATCAAAATTGTGATGGCATGTCTTCGGATCATCCTCAGGGATGTTTCCCAGACAGTCGTGCGACGTAACCACGAGTGCGACGCAACCTAGACCTCTAGTGCGACGTAAATGAACTACAACTAATTACTTAGACCGTTGTTACTGTTCAGCTCTAGTGCGACGTGAATCACTACTACAATATTTTACTACTGTTACAGTGATAATATGCTTCAGCTTTAAAGGAAACATGGTTTTGTTTAAGACCGTATTAACGTTGTAGTAAATTTGAATGATATTATTGCACAATGTTGAACTCACTTTTCTGGGAATATCGGAACAAAAATGTGGCCAATTCTATCAGTAATTAAGTCCCGTAATTATTTTGAAGGGGCAAAATATCAAGCATATTAAAAACAATAATTTAAGTTCATAAAATGGTAAATGGTAAATGCCAACCTGTATTTTAAAGTATATCAGGTTTAATAATTAGACTAAACAGTTGCTATCAGTTTTCCTCAAACTTTAGCTTTTATAACAATATGAAAAATGTTCTTTTTATTAATCTTGTCTATCATTGCCTCAATCTCATTCATTTTTAGAAAACATACATAAGAAATATAAACTATATTATTACATTTTTTATTAATTTCTTTCGGTTTCCCGATTATTTTGTAAGTGTTCGTGAAAGTATGATTAAGTGTCAATGTCTGCTACTCAGGGTCGTGTAACACAGTAAATTCTTTTAACTCAAGTAGTTGAAATTATTTATTTCATCAGCAATATGATACTAAGATAATTTAAGTGGATCATTGAAAGATCTACTTACATTATGACGTTTATTCTAGTAAAGAATAAAAAATGTATTAATGGTAATCTTTATTTAATGTTTTTAAATAGTTTCATATTGCAAAATCATCTTCAATTTTGATTTAGCGTTGAAAGATCGCAATCGAGATCAGTAAGTGGAATAAAAGTATTTATTTACATAGATGATAGATGAATTATACAAACTGTAATACTTAAGAATAAAATTTTACTTCACCTTTTTTATATTATCTCTTGTGAAAAGTAGTTTACTAGAGCATACTAAATGTGGGTTATTCTTTAAATAGAATTTCGTTGACATTTTCGGTAAACTATTTTAAAAAATAAGTTTGTATTCAAATTATAAATCTAATAATAACCAAACCTGATAGAAAATGAATAGAAATTTTTAGCAGTGTAATTGTATATCTAATATCTTAATTTCTAATAAGTAATTGCATATTGGCATTAAATTTGTGACTAGTTATGTTTTATGTCTTGTTATGTAAAAAAATTTCATAAAGAAATAAAGTTCAGTTACATTATATTATTCGTTTTGATTATAGTTCGCCAATGTGTACCTGAGTTTTAGGTGGATAAATTTTTAGGTGGTATAATGCACTGAGAAAAAAAGTATGGTAAGTAAAGTAGAATATGGTAAAATTTACCGTGTTTCTTGGCTCTACGGGAGCACCAAAAAGCGCTGTAATTTTTACCGAAGAGCTTTGATAAAAAGTTTGGTAAAATTAACAATTAAAAATGCCTTTATAATTTGTGATAAAATTTGGTAAATGCTTTAAAGTTTAGTAATTTTATCATTGAGCCTTAGAGCATGGCATAAAAACCGGTTAAATTTCCCTTGCAGTTTTGTATTTTTCACAAAATGAGAGGTGAGAGCAGCGATGAGTCAGGGGATAGAGCGTTCACCTTCCGATGAAGCGCACCGGGTCAGGATCCCAGTCGATATGAATTCCGCATCCGGCTTGCACCGACCACAGTGCAGACGTGAAATATCCTCAGTGGTAGACGGATCATGGATTAGAGTCCCCTTGCCGTTAGGCTAACAGTGGGAGGTTCTCGTGGTCTTCCTCTCCATGTAACGCAAATGTGGGTTAGCTCCAACAAAATCGAAGGCAAATTTCTCCCAATACTCGATCCAAGAGTTCTCTTGTCTTCTGGATTGGGTTCAAAACTACAAGGCTACGGAGTTGACCATTAGTATTCGTAAACCCATAAAATTGGGTCGGCTGTTCAACGACGGTTATAAAATAAAATAAAAAACTCTCAGTCACGCTAAGATAGTAGCACCACAGAACACAGAAAATTCTAGTATTTCCCGTTTCTGACGACACATGCCAAACTAATCAAGCCACGTTCCACAATTCATTTGAAAAAACACAGCTCAACGAGATTCCGATGTCCATTACCTAACGAAAAGCCTAACATACCCTAACTCTAATGTCAGATTAAATTTCATTTTTCTGGTTTTGAAACCATGCTAATTGTAAATGGTTACAGAATGGCATAGTTTTATATTCATTTTTTTAACCATACGAGTTGTCAACGGTTTCAAAATCGTGAAGGTAAAAATGTCCCTAACCATAAACTTCACGGTTAGTAAGACGGACAGACTGCTACCGGTTATTTTACCGTAATTTTAGAATTAAAATAAAAATTCTAACAATATATTTGAAGGCTTTGGGAGACAATAATGTGTTATACCACAGTTTTCCTAAATTAGACATTTTTTTTTTAAACATCAGACTGTTCTTTTGTCTCCGAAACTACCATTAAATAACAATGTAATTTGCCGCGAATCGCAGAAACATCCTATTGCTTTCATTTAAAATTTCATATAATTGGTTGATATTTACTGGCAAAGCCATAAGTGGTTGTATTGCACCAGGCACAAAGCTAAAATTCTTTTTAAAGTATGATTATAATCCTATTGTTTTTATAAACTTGATGAGATTGTGTTGTATAAGGTCATTGAGCAAGGTTTTAACCATTTAGCGAAGAATTTTTATTAAACATATTTTTTATTAATTCGCATCAATCATAATCATCATCAGTAGCTCGACAGTCCTGGGTGGATCCTGGCTTTCTCAAGAAGACTGCACCAGTCCTTCCTTCTGCGTGCCACGGCTTTCCAGTCTCTGACCTTGATTGTGGTAAAGTCCCATTGGAGGAAATCCGCCCATCTTAGTCGGGGTCTTTCTAACTCCAGTTGGCCTTGCCAAAAAGATTCCATCAATTTGAGTCAAAATAAGTGGAAAATTCCATATTTAGCATTTTAATAATTTATGGTTATGAAATACAACATAGAACACCGGTGTTTTTTTCTGCATTAAAGGTAAAATCTTCCAAGCACGGCTCACTACCAAATAACAATTTTTCAAATTTCCCCTTATTTGCAGTTATTTAGATCTAAGAGAAAGAGTTATTCATCATTGAAATTTCATTAATTTAAAAAATGAATTACTGATAGATTTTTGAATATGAATGAAAAAAATTCCAAACTGTTTTTTTTGGGGATTTTATATTTTAGTACAAATATAATTGCGAGAATCCAACAGATTTCTTAAATAACTTTTAAACTGTTTTTTATAACTGAAAAATACCAAAATATATTTTTGTTGGTCATTGAATGCCAGAAAAAAGCATAGATGAAAGGGACTCCGGTGACTCATCTGGGTCAAAGGGTTAATCAGAGGTAGAAATTAAAAAAACAATTAGTCACTCTAGCAACTAAATGATATTACTAGTCCGTGCCAATTTTCTCTGGTCCGTTTGCATGTCTTTCTTAGATATAAAAAAAAATATAATAAACTAATTTAAATAAAAATTACAAAGTAGAAAAAGTATAATGTTTACAATTACGTAAATATGCTACTTGGTGACAAAAACACAAAATAAACCACGAAAGCGAAAGTCAAACACCGAAACAACATACATCGATCACTGATACGGGGGATCGTTTTCTTAGGGGATTCTTTTGGGGATATTTTATGGCGATATTTCATTGCTTGTAATTAGAGCGTTAAAAAATACATTCATATAAAAGGGACAATGGTTAAAAATATAAAGAAAACATTGAAAAAAATATTATTAAAGAGAAAGGTTTTTAATAAATAATATAGCTTTTAAAAAAATATTAGAAAATTTAAAAGAATTGAAAAGTCGAAAAACTAGGAAAAGATATAAACTCTTCATCAGCTCATAGGATCATATTCGCCGAAAAGTGTGCTTTCTAATTTTGTATTAATATAGCCAAAGCAAAATATATCAATACAATAGTGTGAGTGTATACAATAATAAAACTTATTATTATTTATCTTATTTATCTCTTCTATTAATCTCTCTTTTCTTTTATTCCTCTTAGTCTCGTTATTGTGTATATATATATATATAAAACACGAAGAAAGTTAAGAAA